GCAGCGACGGCGTCGGCTTGGGCAAAGCGCGCGACAGTGAAGGAGAGCGGGTGGAGCGTGCGGTCGGAGCTGGGTGGCGTGCGGAGGGATCACGGCTGAAAGAAGAGCTGCGGGGTGGCCTGCGCGTGGTTGGTGAGCGGCGGCGGCGCACGAGCTGGTCGTCGCTGGCGGAGGCGCGAGATGGGTGCTGCCTCTGGTGCTGCTGGCGGTAGCTAGCGGTGGAGGCGTTGAGCAGCGGCGGCGGTAACGCTCCTCGTGCCCGCGATGGATCGATGGCGAAGAGGAAGCTGGTGAGGGGAGAGCCGCGGCTAGGGTGGGTTGAGGGAGGAGGCGGCGGAGAAGAAAGAAGAAAGAAGAAGAAAGAAAGAAAAGAAAGAATAGGGAAGAAAGAAAAAGAAAATAGTATTTGTGTGTTTTTTTTTCCTTTTCCATTTTTTTTCTCTTTTTAGAATTTTTTTTTTTTTACAGGAAGACTCTCCCCCCCCCCCTTTTTTTTAAAATTACAAAAAAAAAAATTTTTGAAAATTTTATATATATATAACTTTTTTTTTATTGACAAAATTTATTTTTGAAATTCAAAAGTAGAGATTAACAGAAAATCAATAATCGTTCTTGAGCTTTTTGAATACTTACCTTTCCCGTGAACATGACGCGGGCACGTCATGAAGGCACGGAATCTGGAGCTCTCCATATGAGATGACGTGGGCACGTCATGAGGGCAGGAACCCCTTCTGACGATTCTGACCGTGAGCTCTCCAGACGTCATGACGCGGGCGCGTCATGACAGAAAGATACCTACAAATCATCAAAAACGAAAATTGAAACCCGAAATCAGTCAAATTCAAGGAAAACATATTTAAACTATCACACAAAATCAAAACAAACAATTAAAAGAAATAATTGGGTTGCCTCCCAATGAGCGCCTTTCTTTAATGTCTTTGGCTAGACATTATCATGTTTTGCTCATGGAGGATAAAATCTTGTGGCTTGCTTCAATGCTTCATCTTCAATGTGATCCTGGTAACCCTCATAGATGGAGTAATCTTTGAACACGCGAGCTACGGTCTTCCATGGACTAGTTGATAGCGCCAAATAATCAAGCAGTAATCTAAATTTTTCATCCACTCCTCCATCAAGAGCACTCAACGGTTCAAGATATTTGACCATACCTACTCTTAACTTATTTCTGCCATGAGACTCAAAAATTTCCGGTATAACAAAATCAATCTCATTAACAGAAATCATGGAGTAAGAGTTAAGAAAATGCGAGTTAGGGAATGGAGGTGGTGTCACCATATTTGATGATTCTTCACTGGATTCTTTCACTTGAATGGGTTGCGGTTGGTGGTTCCATCTCTTCCTTTTCGACTTCTTTTTCAACTGCATCTGTAGATTTCTCATTTTGACACTCTTGCATCTCCTCATCACTAGTCAAGCAAATTGCACTCTCATTTTCTTCTAGATCAACAATGGTTTTCGAGGGCAATTCTTCCATTCGAGAAGCCAATCGATTTATTCTGGATGTCAATAGACATAGTTGATCTGCCAGATAACTCATTGCATCCTTCATCATCTCATTTCTCATTTGTGTCTCCTGTTGGAATTGGTATGTATTAGTAGCTATTGGTTCAACTATTTCTTCAAGAGACATACTTGACATAGATGACGATTCTTGAGACTCATACTGCTGAAAATTCATTGGCCCCGTTGTATAAATATAACCGGAGTTATCCCACCATTCTTGATTATACCCGTTTGGATTAGGGTTATACCACGTTTGAGACCAGGGTGAAAAATCTCCATAATTATTGAGTGGGACACTCAGATTATCTTGATATTCGGGGCACACACCGGTTGAATGATCCCTGGCATAACAAATTTTACAGGTTGCAGCAGCCATTCTTTCTCTAATAGAGTTTAGTGCCTCTGAGTATGCAAACTTAGGAACAAAACAAAACTCATCGTCTTCCCTGGAAACAAAATCCAGTATATCACCAAAATACGGAGTGTTAGAAGCCATAAACTATATAAAAAAAATAAGAGAAAAAATAAATAAAAAAAAACAAGATGAACTCAAAAAGAAACAAATTAATCTGACACCAATCCCCGGCAACGGCGCCAAAAATTGACAGGGTGTCAGCCTGTGCAATAATAAATACCTGCTCAAACTAAAATTAATTTCTGTAGATAGTGGTATGTAGGGTCGAATCCACGGGGACTGGGAGTAATGTTTCTTTTTAAATTCACAGTGACAAGGGGGGTGTTTTTATCTCAGGGGTGACAATTTAAGCAATCCAACTAAAAGTAAAATAATAAAAATAAAATAGCCAATTAGAAATTAAAATAACAACTTACTAAAATCAAAGGATCTAGCCAAGGAATAACTTCAGCAATGGTTCACCTAATTGATCATCGATACAAAGCCAATTACAATTATTTACCAATAAATAGGTTATAACTGCCAAACAAGTGATGACAGTCAACCCCTCCTTACTGTGTCGGTGATTAAGGTACGCCCGTTAATCACTGCTCTAATTGAGAAATAATCCTAGGTACGCCCATAGGATTTAATTTCCCAATTGCCTTACGTATTAGAGGAGCCCTATTCTAACCAAATAACGCACTACCAGGGTTATTTCAGATTAGCCCGCGTATTCCCCTGACACAAGTCTAATTATGCCAGTTGTCACTATTTCAAGGCAATTAAACAATTACGGATTTAATACCTCAATTGACAATAAATTATTAAATTAACTAATTATCCGGATCCAAGACAATCAATTAATTAAACAATCATAAGCACTACAACCAGGGAATATGCAAATACCAATAAATAAAAGAAAAAGATAAAATTAAATCGATCTCACAATTTTTAGGCGACCCAAAGCATCCGTTGTTTCTTGGCTAGAAAAAGGGATTTAGTTCATCCCCAACGAGGAACACTCACACGAAGCGGAGGGAACAATTGCAGCCTTTGCCATTGACCGGGAGAACTCAATTCGCTTCAATAAAGAAAAAGAAAGAACAAAGCTACAGCGAATGATTCATGGTTTCTCATGGTCTCTGACATACGAGAAGAAAATCACTAAGGAACGGAAAAATGGAAAAAGTCTAAGTGAAAAGCTAATCTAGAGCTACGAGAGAAAAGTCAAAAGCTAAAAAACAAGGTAGTGCTCAGTGTCTGCCATATATCAATCGTTCCTATTCTAATTGCTACTGTGCAGCGTCCGCCGCCCAGCCGAGAGAGAGAAAAGAAGACTTCGGCCTCCCCTTTTTAATGCTGTCTTCAGCCCAATTACCAAGAAGGGTCGCAGTTTAATATTTGAAAAATGTCCCTAGATGTCTGCTACTTGAACTCTTTCTTGATAACTGTCAAATTGACACTTGTTATGGTATTTTCGTTCTACACCCTGAAATAAATGCAAATTGCCAAAAGTGAGTAAAATCTAACAATTAATCCACATCGGATCAGGTAATAGGGAAAATTAATTATAAAATAAACGATAAAATTGCAACCTATCAGGATGCTTGAAGCAAAAAAAAAAAAAATTAAACTGATTGCCTCGTGATAAGAAGGTGGAATTATTGCAAAAACAGAGACCCCATCGTGTGGGAATGGAATACAATAATAATTCCCAATAATTCTATGAAACCGGACCCACTACTTGTGAAACCGGAATGCGTCTGCAAGTGGTTTTTTGAAATATAAATGTATAGTAGATAAATTTTCCATTTGCAATTAGTTCAAGATAAATTTGGATTTTGGGTGAAGCCAATTTAACCCAATGCGTGCCTAGCTCCAATTCCACCTAGTTGAATAATTGATTATCATTGCCTGGGATCCACCTTGATGCCAATTCCACCTAGTTGAATGGTTGATTATCTCAATACTCTCCTTCACTTTCTCACCAGAAACAAATAAGAAAAGCAAAGAATTGTAATTTTCAGGAAAGAAATACTTTGCTAGCTCTACAGTTAATGAGATTTGTTTCTCTCTTAAAATTTGAGAGTGAAACTGACGAAAATCCCTCCAAAAGAGATCGAGATGGCCTCCACTTGCAGCGTCGATTGTGTCTTACTTGGTCTAGAGTCGATCCTGAACAGAGGCCGGTATGATCCTTATGATGTTCGTGTTGCAATCACACACATGAAATTTCTCAAAACATTTGTTATGTGTGCAAGCAAGTGGAGCCAAAGCAATGATTTGTACTTGCAATCTGACAATGTTGTGAAGAAGGTGAGTCTTCCATCTTTCTTATCTTGCATCGAAGATACCTTTCACAAATATGTGGAGGATATTCACTCTCTTTCCCATGATGAGATATATGTAGTGTTACACGAAATTGAGAAAGAGATCATATCACTCAAGCAAGAAATCATCCAAATTTACTTTGCTTTGGCAAGCAGCAGGTCATTTCAATCAAATTCTTGTATGACAGATGATGAACTGTTGGAATTCATAGACCTCATCCTCCAAAATCTAGCAGATTTGACAAATTACTGTATGTATTGGAAAATTAATGAATATGATCCTTTGAGTGCTCAAGTCCAAGATCTTGAAGCAAAGCTGACATTCTTGAAAAGCTTCATTCCCTTTGCCAAAATGCGAGGAACCGCAGATATTCCTGCCTTGCTATTGGCTCACTTTGAAGTGGTGGCTTTGACCGCAGCACGCCTCTCTTACATGTGGTCCTTTTGGAAAAATGCTGAGGAAATGCACAATCCTCAGTTCTACTACAGAAGTACTTGCAGCTTCAAACTCCTCAGCATCAGAGCTGTTGATTTTCATGTCTACGAGATTTATAAGGAAGTACTTGCAGCTTCAGACTCCTCAGCATCATTACATACAGCAGTGATGGATGAGCGGATATTGAACAACTTCAATGATTCTCTGATAGGTCTTCTCTGGGAGTTGTTATGCTGTAGCTCTAGCTTTGTGGATTCTATGAAAGATGAAATGCGAATACTCTGTGCAGGACTGAGGTTTTTGAGAAGGATTTTAAGGGAGCATCATGAGATGATGGATGAACAAAATGAAAAGATTGGAGCTCTCCTTGGTGAGGCAGGCATTATAATATTCTCGCCCACTCTGAGCAGAGTGATAGAAGGAGAAGTTAGCTTCTCAGGATCCACCCAGGTTCTTGATTTTTGTGATATGCTGGCCAATACCAACATCCATATCAAGAATTTTAAGGATCAGATCAGTGGCTCAAGTACTATAGAGAGTCTTCCTAATTCCTCTTATAGCTTAAGAGCACCAGAAGTTAGCCAGACTTCCAGCCGCATGCTATCAAAAGGTAAAATGCCAATAGACCATGAAGTCATGGTTGGTCTTGATGATGAGGCAGAAAAAGTAATTGAACCACTTATCAAGCATTTTGAGGATCAGCTCAGTGTCCCAAGTACTATACAGAGTCTTCCTAATTCCTCTCATAGCTTAAGAGCACCAGAAGTTAGCCAGACTTCCAGCCGCATGCTATCAAAAGGTAAAATGCCAATAGACCATGAAGTCATGGTTGGTCTTGATGATGAGGCAGCAAAAGTAATTGAACGACTTGTAAGCGGATCAAAACAGGTGGAAATTGTTCCCATTGTGGGAATGGCTGGGCTTGGTAAGACAACTTTAGCCAAAAAAGCTTACAATGATAGTTCAGTAACCTGTCACTTCCACATTCGTCTTTGGTGCACTGTTTCTCAAGAATTTAACATGAAAAGCTTGTTAACACAAATTTTGTGCTCGGATGGAAAACACTCTAGGATGGATGAAGAGCTTAAAAACTTGAATGAACATGAATTGCTTCACAAGCTCTATCAAAGGCTAAAGACGAAGAGGTATCTTGTTGTTTTTGATGATGTCTGGGACATTAAGGTATGGAATGAGCTGAGAATTTCATTCCCAGATGACAAAAACCAAAGTAGAATCATCTTTACGAGTCGATCTTCTAATGTAGCTTCACAGGTTCAACATGGTGGAGAACCTCACTATCTTCACCCACTCAGTAAGAAAGAAAGTTTCGAATTGCTGCAGAAGAAGGTGTTTGGAGAAGAAGAAGAATGTCCTCAAGCATTGCATGGATTGGGAATGGAGATTGCTGAAAAGTGCTGGGGGTTGCCACTTGCACTTGTTGTTGTAGCTGGAGTCCTAGCAACTATAGAGCATGATATTTTGGTTTGGAAAAAGTTTGCTGAAAGTTTAACTTCAACCATGGTGTCTGGTACAGACCAGTGGAACAAGTCCTTGGAGCTCAGTTATGAGCATCTACCATATCACTTGAAGGCATGCTTGCTGTATTTTGCTGCATTTCGAGAAGATGAAAAAATTGGTGCCAAGAGTTTGATGCGTCTATGGATTGCAGAAGGGTTTGTGGAAATAATTGAAGGAAAGAGATCAGAGGATACTGCAGAAGAATATTTGATGGATCTAATTGGCCGAAACCTGGTCATGGTAAGTAAAAGCAGATCCATTGGTGGAGTCAAAACTTGTTACATTCACGATTTGATTTTTGAGTTCTGTAAGGGCGAGGCGAAAGAAAAGAATTTCCTTCAGGTCCTGCGAGGATATGATGAGCTTTCTACCTTTAATGAGGAGAACCCACCTCGGTTGTCCATTTGGTGCAGTGGAGAAGATTTTATGAAGTCAAGGCTATTTTGTCCGCATTTAGCCAGTCTGCTATTCTTTGATGCTACTCCAGGATATAAGAAGTTTGAGTTGCTTAATATCTCCTTCCTTTTTTGCATCTACAAACATCTTAACGTTCTGAATTTAGAGGGCATTGACCTAATGTTGAAGGAGCTTCCAGCTGAAGTCGAATCACTTATTTGTTTGAGGTACTTAGCCCTTAGTGCTTGGAAAATGCGATTCATTCCACCATCTATAGCCAAGCTCTCACATTTGGAAACCTTCTGTCTAAATTCTCACCAGATGGTTTCATTGCCAGATAGCATCTGGAACATGAAGAAGTTGAGGCATGTAGATGCATGGAGTGGGATTGTTATTTGTCTATCTTCCAACGACAACGGTGTTGAAAACCTGTCCACTTTACCCAATTTGGACACACTCTCTTGTTTGTATCTTTGTGAAACGGGAGAGAGCCTTTATGAAGAGGGAGAGAACATATTGAGAAGCATTCCCAACGTTCGCCGACTTAAAATTTCCGATCGTCAGACTGGAAATGGAGTGTTGAACATGAGTCGACTAGAATGCCTAGAATCACTCACCTGGTTGGGCTATTACTGCTCAAGTTCATGGGAACATGTTGAGCCTCCCTTTCCCATGAATTTGAAGAAGTTGAGTCTTCGCAATCTGGGTCTTCCCTGTAGTAAAATGTCATTGATTGAAGAACTACCCAATCTTGAAGTCCTCAAATTAAGAGACCGGGCAATGGAGGGCCAAAGATGGGAGCTGATGGAAGGAGGATTCCCTAAACTCAGGGTCTTGACGTTGGAAGAAGTAGAGGTTGTGGAGTGGATTGACAGTGGTGATGATTACTTCCCGTGTCTTCAGCAATTAAAACTCTTCGGAATTTTTAATTTGAAAATGATGCCTGCTTGTTTAGGGAGTATATCTACTCTTGAAACGATTGAGATGAAGGATTGCAAAGATGGCGTCAAATCTTTAGTAAGGAAAATTGAAGAAGAACAGAAAGATTATGGAAATGAGAATCTGAAGATCATTTATGGAAAATATTGAAGGGTGGCTACATCTTTTCCTATCAATTCCCCTTCTTTGGGTGGCTTAATTGGATTTCATTAGTTGGCTAAATTTTGGTTGTAAAAAATTCTCAACTGCTAACCGCTTTAATGTTCTTTGGTTTCCTCTTTTTCCCGTTGTCTGTTGGGTTCTATGGTATGATAGGAATAAATTTTTGTTTGATTGTAAGTAATAAAGATTTGCAAGTTTATGTAACACAGAGAAACCCAAAAAATCGTAAATATTGATTCGATCTGAACCGCAAATTTAGGATATTCGAATCGGTTTTAATATGCGTAGTTTGGGTAGCAGCAAATCAGATTAACAAAGAAGGACGTCCCGTCGCAATTCAAAAACTTTGAAAATCGCAGATACCTGACCCAATTCATATGTAAGGATAATTTTGTCCATTAAAACTAAAAGTAATAGAGGAATATATAATCATCTTTCACCAAATATTTATATTTGAGATGATATACTTGACTATCTCAACAATATAAGTCTTAACTTGTTTAACTTGCTAATTATATAGTAATATATTTAGCTTTTGTTGCTGAGAATAAGTGATATTTACAAACTTGTTTTTACTATGAATATGCAAGTATTGATGGTTATGTGATATTTCTTAACAAATAATGAATTATATTTAAATAAAGTCTTTTAGGTGTTTACTTATTTTCTTATTCTCAATTATGAAAATATGATTTCTTTTTTAACTTTGGTACCGAGTCTAGTCATTCGAGTACTCTATGACCGTGGACACAGTTATTATTTAATTTTTTGTCGAACCAATAGAACTGGTTTGAGTTACGAAGAAGCGCAGAGCTTCCCCGTGGAGGCCAATTGTGTATTTTGTCCGCCCAAGTGGTACCAGGACTTCAACCCCAAGACCCTTATACACAAGGACTAGGGTTCGAATCCTGGGGAGGCCCCCCTCCAAGCACCCGATGCTGGGGCGGACAAAATACACAATTGACCTCCACGGGGAAGCTCTGCGCTTCTTCAAGTTACAAATCTGAAAGGACACCCAACCCGTGAAATATAATCACGGACTGATGCTGACTCCTCTTTACTCTTTGCTCATGGCTTAAGGCCCTTGTTAGTAGTTATATAAACTCAAATCAAAGATTCCATCAAACTAAAATCTCTATTGAAGTCATTTTACTATTTTCTTTTGAAAATAAAAACTAGCTATTGACTTTTGGATTATAAGATTGATTTTTGGAGCATGCATATTGAACAACAATGCTTGAATTTTCAACAAAAAAGAAAAAAAAACAACGAAATAAAGCTAACGTAGATGACTAATTATAAATTATCATTCTCTTTTTCCCTTTCACTTGAAAATGAAAGAAACTATTTTTGTGATAACAAAAATTTCTGTTCGACTTTAATTTTTTCCTTCCTTTTTTTTTGGCCCCTTATATGGTCTTTTTCTCTTGAAAATTCCAAGAAAGTCTTACCTTATGGAAAGCGAAAATCTTTTAATTTTTTTTTTTTAAAAAAAGGGGTCTAGGTGTAGGGTCCCTTTCTTAGTGGACAATGCCGAAACTGGTGCTTTTTACCTACGAAATGAGAGTGAAATAATTCATTCAAAAACCATAAAGTAATGAGTTAAAAAATTCTTTGCTTTTTCTCGTGATTCCAGCACTGCCACCACTATGATTGTTTGTTGAATAATTGAATATTCCACAAGAAAAATACTGGCTAGGCGAGATTTGTTAATATTTCTCCTTATGCTACACTAAAAATTTGAGAGTGAAATTGAGGAAGTGCCTTGCATTATAAGAGCTGGAGATGACCTCCACTTGCATAGAACCGATCTAATTGAGCTCATCTATAAGTGGATATTAATTATAATATTTTCCTTGAAGCAATTTAAAATAGATGATCAGTCTTAACGTTAAAAAGTATGTCTACATATCATAAGGTTTAGGAGTATTTTTTTTAATCAAACTACTTGATTTGATACTTTGATTAAACAACTTGAGCTCAGTCAGCCAATATTGAGACAGGAAATGGGGCAGGGACGGTCATCAATATGAACATCCCTGAGCAGTTAAGGGCCATGATTTGGCCAAAAAATTTTGTGCGGTCCAGATAACAAGTTGTGCATCGATTTTCACACCATGTGTGGAATCCGCAAAATTTTGTACTAAAGTTACACGCTGTACAAACAAAGTTATGCGCTGTTGAAAATAGCCAAAACCGTTGGGGACGGTTGCAACCGTCTGTGCCCCTTGTCTATTGAGACAGTTTCGCTGCTAAAATGCTGGTTTCCGAGAGATTCGTTTGCAGTCTTACCTAAAAGATAAATACAACAGTATAAATACCTTATTAATTCATTAGTTGTGTATAATATTATTAAATTTAACCACAAGAGAATATGAAAATGTTCTTGCGACATATATCAATTAGCCCAAAATTGTTCAGGTCCCCGAAAATCTGAATATAGTTGCTCACGCATATTAAAAATGGAGCAGGTTAGAATCACAAGGCTACAGATCGGCTACACATTGTGGATGAAATCTTCTCCCATCTAAAACATTGCCCCTTAAAAGGCTAGAGCTTGAATTAAGGAACGGGAAAAGGGACCGTCCAGTGGCCATTCTTTACCAGAACACTATCCGGTCTCCGTCAATCTATCGAATTCTGCACATGAATGTGGAAGAAAGACTAATGTTAAGAGTTGAATTGATTTTCAATAGCTGTAACAGTGTATTATTGTATTAGCATGCATTTCGGTTCTGACACTAAGTGCGTTTGATAAAATTGAAATATAAAATCTAAATTTATTAAATTATTAAGTATTAAATTTGATATATTTGAATGTATATCATATTAAGTAATAAATAAATAATTTATTACTTATTTTTTATAATATA